TTTGGGAGAAGTGATTGTTGAAGTCATAATTTCTTTCTTTTCTTGCTTCAATTGCGAAATTTGATAATCTAAATTGTTCGAAAAAAATTTCAAAGTTTGTTAAGGATAGATAGTCAAATGAAGAGTCCTTCTAAGAAGTTAAGTAACATTATAGCCAAGTGGAGAAAAGGAAGGAAAGGTCAATTTGTTGTGTATACAAAGGAAGGCAAGAGATTTGTTGTGCCATTGTACTATCTAAATCATCCAATTTTCAAAGTTTTACTCGAAATGGCTGAAGAGGAGTATGGTTCAAATGTGAATGGCCCTTTGCAAGTTCCATGTGAGAATGAATTGATGGAGTATATTCTATGTTTGTTGAGAACAAAACTTGGTAATGTTGAAATTGGAGAAGCAATTTCCTCTATTGATACATGTAAAGGAACACATGTTTTTTCTAATTTATCCTCTTTGCAATGTGATAGTTTAGTTGAACGTGTGCCATAATGACTTCCTTAGGCTAGAAAATAGAGTAGAAGATGAAGATTGTTTATGTAATATATAAAATGTACTATAACAATATTGATGACAAGTTTGAAGTTTTGATACTTCTAACATACTTTTCTAGTTGCAATTTGGCAATTCTTCCACTCCTTTTGATGTTCTCCCCCACCCCCCACCCCTTTTTTTTTTTCTTCCGTCAAGTGTTCGATATTTGCATGGCTTAATTTGATTAAATTTAGATTCACGCATTGCAGAACCTACTTATGGGAGCTACGCTCTCAACAAAAAAAAATATTCATGAAAGCTCGAACCCGAAACTTTTAATTATGAATGGAGAAATCTCAATCATCATATCGCAACCCATGTTGATCCTTTAATGTTCTCCAACATTTGAATAGCATACTAATCATTAAAGTAATAGTATTAGTTTTTTTTGTTTCTCATTTGGTTAAGACACATAATTAAAGGATAAAAAAAAAAATTACTAAGAAATTTTTCATTCTCAAGACTCGACTCAATATCTCGAATTAATTAAGAGCAAAGTAATCTATTCATATCACCACAATCTTCAATGGTTAACATACTAATCTATACTCCTTATCCCCCTCCCCGTTGTGCTCGAGGGTGATTAGAGAATCAAATTAAGATTATCCATCTTTTTTATATATATTAGGCATTGCATTCTCTGAATAATTCAAAATCAAAGTAATTGAATGTACGATTCCAATATGCAAACAATCTCTCACCCCTTTTAAATTAGGCGAATTGTATTTATTTTAATTGATGATTTCTCATATTCAACCTCTATAGGGTGCGAATCATAAAAGAGGACATATACGTTAGCGATGCAAAAGGCAACGGTCCTAATAAGTGGTAATGGTGATAAAAGTATTTTTATTTACTTAATTATATCTTTTTATAGGTTCAAAGAAGCGTTTTCGGACAAAATTTAGCCAAGTACAGAAGGAGAAAATGCAAGAGTTGGCTGATAAATTAGGGTGGAGGATACAAAGGGAAGATGAAGAATTGGTGCAGCAATTGTGCAATGAGACTGGAATTACAAGGCAAGTGTTCAAAGTTTGGATGCATAACAACAAGCATACACTTGGTAAAAAACCCTAGAACCAAAAAACCTCCCCCCCCCCCCCCCCCCCCACACACACACACAACACACACAACCAAAAAAATTGAAAATAAAGAAAAGAAAAAGAGTTATAAGGGGTATCAAAAGTAATGGAATGAAAAGAAACGGATTAAAATTGACTTTTCTGAAAACTTTCAGGGACCTATAAATTAGGCCCATAACCCGAATAGCTCTTGTAATCTCCAGTTTATTCAACCACTGAAGCATTTTTGGGAACAGCGATTAACGAAGAGGAAGAGAGATGGGAGGTGGAGATGGACATGGCATGACCTTCAAAGGCATCACTGTACATCAACCTAAGCGTTGGCACTCCGTCACCGGAAAAGGATTGTGTGCCGTCATGTGGTAATTTCTTCAAACCCTAGCCCCTTTCTATTGTTATTTCATTTCCCCTGTTTTTCGATTGATTTTACGAGCTGTATGGATTTGATAATGTAATGTTTTCGGATCAGAGATTTAAGAATTAGATTTGATTGGAATATATATTAGGGAACCTTATGGCGCTCAAGTGTGTGATGTATTGGTTGATCCATTGTTGAGGATGAGATTTTCTCTGAACAAAGTTTGACTCATTATTTTTTTTGCTTAGCTGATAAATTACAAGGTTCATATAGTGAGTGCATTTGATGGAATTTTGTTAATAATAGATATTGCCTGCAAAGGCAGATGTGGTACCCGTAAATGTACCAGGTAGAGGTTCATTGGGCATGTTAGACATGCCTTAAGTAGCATTCTACAGGTAATGTTGAACAAATCAGCCTTCCCCCCTAAAAAAAGTGATTTTGAAGAAAAGATGCCAATTATAAAAGAAATAAAACTACTACTACTACATGTTGATCCAAAGTTAGTTTTGGTCGATTATATGAATAATCACTGTCTATTTCACTCCAATTTGAAAATCCACATTGTGAGGATTTGTCCATTGTCCCAGCTTGTGTTCGTTGGGCTTTATGGGTGGAAAGGCCCATTCTCCAATTTTTATTTGTGAAATTGTGCTTGGTGGCTGATTAAATTCAGTTGCACTACTATCTCAGGCTCCTGTTGGAGGTTTAGTTGGTTCAGCTGTAATAAGAGAAATAACTCAACTTCATTTAAATAAAAAAGAAGAGAGGAATAGCTGATGATTTTAATCACTGATGCCTTACCTTAAACTTTTGCATTTTATTGGCATTTAACTAGTAAGCAATAGTCGGAGGGTATACAGCAGGATGGATATCTTAAATGTTATTTTTTTTTTTTTTTTGATAAAGGTAACATGGATATCTTAAATGTTATTGACCTTAAGTATATAATAATGTACCAACAACTTCCAAGGATGTGGTCTAATAGTCATGAAGTGGGTTGAGAACCATGAGGCTTGAGGTTCAAATCCTAGCGAGGCAATATCATTAGGTGATTTCTATTTTCTTCTCATGTGTCAGCCTTGGCGGATAGAGTTATCCAATACCTATGTTGGTGGGAGGTAGCAAGTACCCCATGGAATTGGTCGAGATGCACCCAGGCGATCTGAACACCATGGTTGTCAAAAAATAATAATAATGCGCCAACATAGTTTTCAAATATTAGCAGGATGATTCATAATTAATAGGGACTTATTAATATATGGAGAATGGTATGAACTATAATCTGCATTTTATGGATCAAATTAATGAGAGATCTGTGCTGTTACACTTTTTATATACCATAACACCAGAGTGTGTTTGTTTTTTCAGGTTCTGGATTCTTTACCGGGCCAAGAAAGATGGTCCTGTAGTGTTGGTGAGTCTCAATATTGTTTCATCATTTCTTACATTTTCGTTTATTGTATACCATTTTGGTGATTGTTGATGTGATTTTTACTGCTTAGGGCTGGAGGCATCCTTGGGAAGGCCATGGCCATGGTCATGACCATTAGGTAAGGTTCTTGCAACTATAGTAGCTTATAATGTTACTAGTGAATGTGGTCAGTCATTTTTACATTATGGTGGCTGGAGAAGTCTCTGTTGTTTATCTTTGCTATTTGTAAATGATGCTTCTAATCCAAAACCTTATGTATATTCTGAAGTGACATGTATTGGTCAAGATTCATAACATAACCTATATCTTCATCTAAGCAACAGTTGGAATAAATTTGCAAAACGGCTACTAGTTGCAAAATGGCAAACTATATAAGCAGAGAAATTTTTCCTGTACTGAAAAAATTGGAAATGGTAACTTTTTATGTAGAGAGATTTCTCCTTTTAGCCAAAATAAATAAGCATATGAGATTCATGTCAAAATATTTTTCTTCAGCAGAATAAGTGGTTCATATGAAGAGTATGATTGTTGGTTGATCATATCACCTGCACCAGAATATTATTCCCACATTTTGCAGTCTCTACATTATCTGCTTATGCTCGGATATTCGCTGCTAGTACTGAGTTGAGATTTTGAGATACTCAAAACCTATGAAATTGTAATGTGCCGTCAATTTTAAATTTATTGTTTGAATCTTTGTGTCATTTGGCTTCAAGTGGGCTGTTCCTAACTTTTTAAGTCTTGAGCGATCATCCTCTATTTTTGTTTGACTAGCCCAGCCTGATGACTTGTGCTAATTGATTTTGCAGATATGTCGTGGAAGCTGCGGCTGGATTGTAAACCAATACGGTCAATGCTAATGTATTTCTTGGAAAACTCAGTTGAATATCTTTCAAAACAGTTGTATTTTGTGTTCAATAAAAATCCTATGAAGTGGAGAATTGTTTATGAATATGACTTGATTCATAAGATGCTTTGTTTTAGTTAACTTTGAGCTATGATTTTTGTTTTCATTGAACTGTTTGGCGCATTTTTTGCAGTGGTGTGTGCAACATTTCTCTGTTTGTATTACCAACTCTTTTCATGAGTGAGTTTGAATGAAATTATGTAGATAGCAACATTTGTGAATACGACGAGATTTAATTTTTATGAACTGTGTCTTGCAGTAGCAGGTTAAAAGTTTAATTTAACTGTGTTGATAATGCACCCTGAACTGTCTTTCCTCGAGCTGAGGTCTATCGAAAACAACCTCTCTACATCCAAAATAAGGGTATGGTCTGAATGCATCCTACCCTCTCCGGATCCACTTTGTCAGACAGATTACACTAGATATTATGTTATTGTACGTTGATAATGCACCTTAGCATGCAACTTAAAATTCATATAAAGGTCGCTAAGATCTATGTAACCTGGATTTAAAATGTTAAATTAACAAAAAAAAACTATTTCATGAAGACCATTAAAGACTCAACCAGTAATATGAACTTAACGATCATCACAATCAATAATAGTATATGATTGAAAATTTGCAAAGCTACTATAAGAAGTAATCAGACAAAGAAAGACAACAATTGACATATATAAGCTGAATTGCCTCTATTTTATTGATCTGAAACAAATAAAAGAATAAAGTGATACAATGAACTAAGAGTAATCAGTTACAATTAGTTTGATCTGAACTCTGAATATCAGAAGATTCAGATTCGAGAATCTGCAGTCATTGCTTCAATTAGCTCAGCAGAAATCTTAACTGGCTCCTACTTTTCGCTTGTCATTTCAAGAGTTTAACTTATATACACCGAATTTAACATGTGAGTATATTCAGAAGAGAAACTCTTGTCCTAATTAGACGCCGAATAATACACTCTAATTCTCCTTCAAGAACATCTTCAATAACAATCTCCACTGCTTCCAATCTTTTATTCGCACATTGTAATGTCATTGCATCACATTTTTCCCAAGAACTAAAGCTATTCACTCTCATCAACTTTGATCCAAAAAAATACCCTTTATTTAATTTCTTGTTATTTGGACTTGGCATTAACATAAGTGACATCAATGACTCCACAATTGACATAGTAGCAACTTTCACTTCCCTAAGCACGTTCACAACTACCATCAAATTATTTTTACTTTCTGAGCTTTGGTCCGACACCAATGATAATTTCATTCCCTTTAAGGAATGCAAACGCTTTAATATTTCTTTCTTCAACTTCTTTCGTTGACAATGAAAAGATACTGTGAATTTGTTATTATCTCCAACGCTTATTCTTCTGAACGTTGACTTGAGGTCATGGAGATGGTCTTTAACTAACAAAAGAACATCTTTTGTAGTGGTACATACTTCGAGCATCCTTAACGATGTTTCAGAAACATCATGGACCCATTTTTCTTGTCCTTGGTGCGCGATTTCTCGTTTGATCATCGATGAGTGAAGCAAATCGTTGGCTGAGTCGTGCAAGTCTCTTAGAGCATCAAAATTTGGTAATGCCATTGTATCTTCTTGAGCTAGAGAATATGTTTGAGCTTTTGACTTTTGAATTATATTAGATTGAGACTGTTTAGATAAATGCTTTGCATTTGTAACCTTTTTATAGGTTACCTAAAAAAAGATTAGAAATGTGAGATTTGTGATCTCTAATGGAAAAAGGACAGGAAGGATCCTTTTTTGTACGTATTGGCAACAGCTAAGGAGATTAATAATATTGTCCTAAAGGAAATTTCCTCCTAAAAGGAAAAATACAAGAAATAGAATAATTAATTTATACTCCAATTATTCCATCTGGTGTCTGGTTCCCGCATTGGAGTCCAACTAATCTTGATTTGCAACGTGTGGGAAAATGCTCTCTATCAAGGATTTTTCCATACTCAGAGGTCGAACCCGAGACATCATGTCATGATCACAAGTTACGTACTGCTTAATCAAATACCATCATATAAAATTGAAACGAGGAAGAGGGATGATGCACGAGGGAGAGAGACGATGCCAGTCTGGTACTTATTAAATTGTCGACATGCAGACAAAATGTATTGACAATATATTTATGAAGACTAATTAGGGAGCATTATGAAACATTAATCAACATAATTTGGAATACTTCAACATGATTTTAGAGTATTAACAACTGTTTATGTTTCTTGTTAATTAATTAAGACATGAAATCTTCTATTAAGATTATATTCTAACCATGCGTGCATTGCGTTGGCAGAGTTTCCAAGAAAATTCTTCCAGCATTGACTATTTTTTTTAGTTGTCCTTTAGTGACATGGATATTTTCCCTCCAAAATCTACACATGTGAGACATGATATATATTTCGTGCATTATTTTATATTATATATGCACTTAGTTCGTACAGTTATAGTCGATCCCAACTTGTTTGGAGCTTAGGCGTAGTTATATCTTTTGTACATGATTAAAAAAGCTTTGAAGAGGAATGTTTTTTGTCAAACTTTTAAAACTTCAAGGATGTTTTCAGTGAAGTGAAACACTATAAGGATGAAGTTGAAGTTTGAACGAAACAATAAGGATGAGTTTGGTCAAAAACTCACTACGAGGTCAACTGAGAGACTCAAAGTCTTTCTAAGTCCAAAACATAAGTCTTTCTACTTTATATTTTCATACTATATTGGATTGTCTAATAAATTTCTCTTTGATTATTGAGCAAAATTTTGTCACCAATGGAAGGTGTAAATTTACTACTAGTCCTTCTTCTTGTAGCTAGTAGTACTATATTAGATGGATTGTTATTATGCAGAGCTATGAATTCAGACATACTTTGTGATGAAAATGAAAAAAATGCTCTTATCAAGTTCAGACAGGGTTTCAGGGATCCATCACAGTCAATGATCATGTCGTCTTGGATGGTCGAGGAAAATTGCTGCAACTGGAAAGGTGTTGAATGTGACAACACAACCGGATACGTGATCACTCTTGACCTGCACCAGCAATTCTTGCAAGGTGAGTTTGGGACTTACTTGCTTGGCTTGTCTCATTTAAGACACTTAGACTTAAGCCAAAATGATTTCCTTGAGGCCTTGTTTCCTGATTTCATTTGCAAATTTAAGTACCTAGAGTATCTCAATTTGCACAAAACCAAGTTTAGGGGATCAATCCCTGAGTGTCTTGGAAATCTGTCGCGGTTGCAGTTACTTGATCTTGGTGATGGTTTATCACTCCGGGTTGATAGTCTTGAATGGATTCAGCATCTTTCCAATATGAGGATTCTTGACCTGAGTGGAGTTGACCTGAGCAATGCCAAAAACTGGCTACATGACATCAATTTCCTAAGGTCTCTCGTGGAATTACGTTTGTCTTCTTGTCAGCTTCCTAAATTGCTTCCTGTTTTTGTAAATTTCACATCCCTTCAGGTTCTTGACCTCTCGTTAAACTATCTGGATGTTCCATTTCCTAGCTGGTTAGTCAATACAAGCTCTCAGAGTCTTGTTTATCTTAATCTCAAAAGAAGTCTGCTGCATGGTTTACTTCCAAATACCGCCTTTGGAAACATGTACTCACTTAGAGTTCTTGATCTTTCTGACAACTCTATCCGAGGAAAGCTTCCGTCTTTTGAGAACATGACTTCAGTTACTTCTCTTGATATCTCAAGGAATTCTCTTGTAGGCAAATAACCGCCAACCCTGCCTTCAAAGTTGAAACATTTGGATCTTTCATCCAATAATCTGGAGGGTCCTTTAGCAAGAAGCATCGCACAACTTAGGCAATTAGTTGTCCTCAATGTTGCTTGGAACTCTTTCAATGACTCAATTACTGAACATTTCTTGAATTTCAGTGATTTGAGAATGTTAGACTTGTCATCCAACTCAATTATCCTCAATATAACTGCAACTTGGATGCCTCCTTTTCAACTTGACATTATTGGCCTGATGTCTTGCCAACTTGGTACACAGTTTCCTCAGTGGCTTCATACACAAAAGGATTACTCATTTATCGATATCTCTCATGGTAGCATCTCAAATGAAGTGCCTGATTGGTTCTGGAGTCTCTCTGCAAAGGTACAGCACATGAACCTTTCTCTCAACTATTTCAGAGGGGAAGTACCTCAAGTTACATCAAGACTTGATAGTCTTGAAAAACTAGACCTGAGCCAAAACAACTTTTCTGGTCCTTTACCTCATTTTTCGTCCAAGATGAAGATGTTGATTTTGTCCCGGAATTCTTTTAATGGCGCCATTTCCCCTGTATGTGAATCACTTGTCATGAATAATTCTCTTATGTTTTTAGACCTATCGTTCAATAATCTATCAGGAACACTTTCAGACTGTTGGAGATATGGGAACAATCTGGCAGTATTAAAGTTAGGCTATAATAATCTGTCTGGTGAAATACCTCATTCTTTTGGATATCTTGAAACTCTCAGGTATCTGCAACTGAAAAACAACAGGCTGTCCAAAAATCTGCCTTCATCACTGAAGAACCTACAAGGACTAAAAATTCTTGATCTTTCCGGAAATTGTTTATCTGGAAAGATACCATCTTTCTTAGGGGAGACTTCACAAAATCTATTGGTTCTTTTGTTAAGAAAGAACAAGTTCGATGGAAACATTCCCCTACAGATTTGCCAGCTCAAAAACTTGATTATTTTGGACCTTAGTTCCAATTCTCTATCAGGCACCATTCCAAAGTGTGTTAAAAATTTCCTAATGATGGCTGGGGTAGAGGAGCTCCCTTCCTTGGTTTATGGTCCCTATGAAGAATACAGGAAGGATGTGGCGTTGATGCTAAAAGAGAGAGGCTATGATTATAGTTTTGCCTTTATGGCGGTGATTGATCTATCAGATAACCATTTATCAGGGGAAATTCCTGAGGAAATCACCACACTTGTTCAATTGCAGGTATTGAATTTATCAAGGAATAATTTAACTGGAGCAATTCCTTGTAAGATTAGTAAAATGCAATCTTTGGAAGCTCTTGATGTTTCCTGGAATCGTCTGTCATCCTTCTTGCCTTCCAGCATAGTGGAGCTTTCCAGGCTCGAGATCGCGAATTTTTCGTTCAATAGTTTGACAGGAAAAATTCCAATAGGTGGTCAATTTTTAACCTTTGAAAATAGTTCTTATATTGGGAATCCAGATTTGTGTGGCATGCCACTTTCCAAAAGCTGCTCGGGACATTTTCTTGAGGACATTACTCACTGTAACTCTCCCAAGAAAAAAGACGTGCAGGCCATTCATCAGCATGAGGAAGACAATTGGCTTGATGAATCATCATTCTATATCAGCATGGTAATTGGTTTCATCACAAGTTTCTGGTTATTTTGGGCTACTCTATTAGTGAAAACATCTTGGAGACATTCCTATATGAGGTATCTTAATAAAATGGGCAACAATATTTATGTGTTTGTAGCCATAAGATTACCAAATAAGCATAAACCATCAAAGATGAAAGATTGAAGTTCTTTCAGGGATTGCTGAATAAGGTAATGAAGGTCTTATTTCTGGTGCAACTTTCTTTTGTTGTTTTGTTTTCTAGGAGCTCTTCTGGTTTTGTTTTTGTAAAATCTTCTAAGTACTATATTGTGTATGCCTAGTTGCATTGTTTCATCTCGTGGGATTGTACTAGGTATGTTGTTGTTGTAGTCATAATTGTATTCTATGATATGTTTTGTGGATATCTAAGTAACTTGAGAATACTATTACTAATGTTTTTATCACTTGTAAAACTGTTAAGATCATTTCACTTACCTCAAGTAGAACAATGACATAAGTTTAATCAATCCAAGTCATGACCAGTTTGGCCTTTCAACTCGATCGTCTTTATGACAAATCTTGGATGATCAAACATTTAATACAAAGTTTTCGTGATATTTTATTCAACTTGTCTGTACCATAGATAGATATACTCAACCACAGTCCACAGATCATGCAGCATAATGCTCGTCAATATACACATAAAGATTGCTACTTGATCTTCATTTTAGGAGTATACTCCCTCAGATCCAACAATTTTAGACATATTGAACCACTAGTAAACTCCCTTAGATCCAGAAACTTCAGCTCATTAACACATAATCCACTATAATACATAAAAAAAAGTAGAGTACTTGTAGAACATTTATCTCCACAGGTTTACATTTTTCCTGTCTTTGCTTATCTGCAACCTTATGAAACCAGCCAACACTAATTACTATGCTCAGCGCTGATAGTAAATAAAACACTCAGAAGAAGAAAAGATGACAGAAATATGGTTAGATGACGTGAAATGTCAAGATTCCTCTTGCCCCCTGGCTCTCATCTAATTTGAGCAGTCATTTCAGCTCAAATCCACATAATATACTAGATACTGATACTTTGCTCATGCGATGGGCGACATGTATGATGGTTAACAGAGTATTTTAGAGGTACAATTAGATGGAACTTATTATATTACAAGATTTAACAATATTAATCTGACAAAACAGATAATATTAACACAAAAACACCACATGATTGAGATGGAAAACATCAGTATATTGAAGTATAGAATAGCTCACAAAATTTGTACATTTGCTGTATTCTATATATGACAAATTTTTATATACAAACCGGAAACATTGTTACATGCCGTGTACTCTGTATGTCAAAATCATATACACAACTCACAAGATTGAAACAAGAGTTAATGGCTGAGAATATTGAGAAGGGAAACTCAGTTTTTCAAAAGAAGCCTAAAGCTAACTCCCAGTCCCTCCTCTAGTTCTTGCATGCTCGATTCAAATGTCTCGAGTCTTTTAAGTGCTCTTAGCATCTGTGATTGATCTATCTTCTCGTTTCGTAGGATAAGTAACTCCATGTGTAACTTCCCTACTTCCGAGATATCGATTCCTTCACACGAGACTCTCTTAGGCTTCAACATTTTGGAGGCCAAAGACCAACTACTTGCCTTTGATCTCATCTTTGGATGGGAAATCTTCAACTCCTTTTATTAGCCTAATCAATGATGCAAAGTCGGAATATTCTACTACTATTGTCTGATTATTTTCTCTCTGCTTCAAATCTCTGAGACATTTGCATATATTACTTTGTTCAATTTCTTACTAGATGCCATGTATGCATCAACTTGAGAAGATATGCTAGATTCTCCACCTCTACCTCTTCGAAGAGATGACTCGAGTAGCTACATACTTTCTTTCATCTGTGAGAAAGCTTCTTTAATGATACTAAAAGTATCCAAAACATTAAGGGACACATCGGAGACTTGCTCAAGTAATTTGGCATGTTTTTCATGAACTTGTTGGCTAATTGACAACTTGAGGACATCATCAACACAATCATATAATTTTCTTAGTCCATCCAAGTTTTGGCGTATCTTCGAGTTAGAAGATGAGGAAGTTCCTTCAGATGACTTCAACCTTTGTAACTGCTCCTCTGCACAAACAATGAAAGGATGAGCTGCTGTAGGCAAGCTCGTGGAACGAACATGATTTATAGTCATTTGATTCGTCATTTCAAGCTGTCATCTTAATTTTCTTAGTACAGATAAATGACTATGAAGAATATTGCTTGTGAGACTGTTTCTTGGAGAATATTGCTCTAAGGGGGGGCGGGGGTGTTCGGTAAGTAGGAAAAACATTTTGTAAGTCATGCAAACGTTACCAACAAATATAACCCTTGGGAAACTGTTGTTTTTAACATTTGCATAACTTACAAAATTTTAGATTATGGTATGATATTTTCTCACAAAATTTTTAATTTGTTCAAAAGGATTTTACCCCGTGTCTAAAAAGGTCCATAATTCATCCACACAAAAAAACAATCATTTACTAAACGACTATCTCAAAAAGGAGAATAGATGGAAATTTCACCAACATAACACAGAAACCTTCCCTTGGGGTTGGGCCACATTCTTATGACAAGATAAATGATCCAATGGGCCTTGTAAATCACCAACATTTGCATTACATGGCCAAACTGCTTCCTTATACCTTTTTTTTTTTTTTGGTTTTCCCTTCGTCATCTTAATTTTCTTAGTACAGATAAATGACTATGAAGAATATTGCTTGTGAGACTGTTTCTTGGAGAATATTGCTCTAAGGGGGGGCGGGGGTGTTCGGTAAGTAGGAAAAACATTTTGTAAGTCATGCAAACGTTACCAACAAATATAACCCTTGGGAAACTGTTGTTTTTAACATTTGCATAACTTACAAAATTTTAGATTATGGTATGATATTTTCTCACAAAATTTTTAATTTGTTCAAAAGGATTTTACCCCGTGTCTAAAAAGGTCCATAATTCATCCACACAAAAAAACAATCATTTACTAAACGACTATCTCAAAAAGGAGAATAGATGGAAATTTCACCAACATAACACAGAAACCTTCCCTTGGGGTTGGGCCACATTCTTATGACAAGATAAATGATCCAATGGGCCTTGTAAATCACCAACATTTGCATTACATGGCCAAACTGCTTCCTTATACCTTTTTTTTTTTTTTTGGTTTTCCATTCGATGTCCGGAGCCCACATTGAAGCCTCGAGTAAATTCGGATCACATACTGCATGGCCAATTCGGGGGTGGTGCTTCTGACATGATTTTTTTCATACACATGGCTCGAACCCTAGACCTCTAATTAAAAATTAAACAGTACCACCATGCACCCAACTTTACCGAAGAAACACCTAATAACCTTGAAAATGAATGGCCTCACTTGCTTTCAAGGTCAAAAACCAGATTTTGTTGAGCTTGAAATTTTATCCGTAGAATAAAAAAAGAGGTCAAAAGTTCAAAATCATCCACCTACGAGGCCATTTATATAAATCACCCCCACTGTTACGGTATTTTTTGGGCCAATTTCTCACTATTGACCAGTGAAGATACTTTTGACGTCTCTTGCATTTCCACGTAACTTTTCAGTGAATATTTGCGGGCTTTCCATTTTTTCCCACATAAAGGCGACTGGATAACATTGCTGACACGTAGAAGCAACCCAAACCAACATCCAAATCTATGGCTTCTATTCAATTTCTCAAGAACTAGCAAAGACCAATTTTTTTTATATTTTTTTGCATATATAATTGAGTTCTACAATAAATTCCCCAAATTTAAGAACAAGAATTGATCAATCTTGTTCCAACAATGGCCAATTCTGTACTATCTTCCAATTTCTTGGGTTCCCAAATCTTTGTTTCTCCTCCCACACCTAAAACCTCAAAGTATTTCCATTTTCACTCCAAAAGAAAGTGTATAGTTCCTCAATCAATACTCAACAAAAAACCCAATTCAGATAATTTCAAGAATGTTCCATCTAAAGCTGCTTTAGCTGCTTTACTCTTTTCTTCAATCACCCCACATGCTTTTGCTCTTGATAATACAACCCCAGCAGCACCACCACAAGTGATTGAAGCTGAAGCACTCAAACCCAGTGCTTCAAATTCATTACCCTTTGCTCAAAATATCATTTTGAATGCTCCAAAGACTCAAGCGCAGCCTGCTTCTGACCTTCCTGAAGGTACTCAATGGAGGTACAGTGAGTTCTTGAATGCTGTGAAGAAGGGGAAAGTTGAAAGGGTTAGATTTAGTAAAGACGGAAGTACCCTTCAGCTTACAGCTGTAGATGGGCGTAGAGCTAATGTAATTGTGCCTAATGACCCGGATTTAATCGACATTTTGGCGATGAATGGCGTTGATATATCAGTTTCTGAAGGTGAAGGGGGTAATGGGTTGTTTAGTGTTATTGGGAATTTGCTGTTCCCTATTATTGCTTTTGCTGGGTTGTTTTTCCTTTTCAGGCGGTCTCAGGGAGGCCCGGGTGGGCCTGGAGGACTTGGCGGGCCGATGGATTTCGGCCGGTCTAAGTCCAAGTTTCAGGAGGTGCCTGAAACTGGAGTGACTTTTGCTGATGTTGCTGGTGCTGATCAAGCTAAATTAGAGTTACAGGAAGTGGTTGATTTTTTGAAAAATCCTGATAAGTATACTGCTTTAGGTGCTAAGATACCAAAAGGGTGTCTTTTGGTTGGTCCACCAGGTACTGGGAAGACCCTTTTAGCTAGAGCAGTAGCTGGTGAGGCTGGTGTGCCATTTTTCTCTTGTGCAGCATCAGAGTTTGTTGAGTTGTTTGTGGGTGTGGGAGCTTCTAGAGTTAGGGATTTGTTTGAGAAGGCGAAATCTAAAGCGCCTTGTATTGTGTTTATTGATGAGATTGATGCTGTGGGAAGACAGAGAGGTGCAGGACTTGGTGGTGGAAATGATGAGAGAGAGCAGACTATTAATCAGCTTTTGACTGAAATGGATGGGTTCTCTGGAAATTCTGGTGTCATTGTTTTGGCTGCAACTAACAGGCCTGATGTTCTTGATTCTGCTTTGTTGAGACCTGGAAGGTTCGATCGACAAGTGACTGTGGACAGGCCTGATGTTGCTGGTAGAGTCAGGATTCTTCAGGTTAGTTTACTCTGAACATTGTTTTCTTCATTTTATCAATACGAGTATCCTATATCGATTGAATATTTATTTTGAAACCACCTTTGTATTAACATAGTGGTAGAAAGATTATCATGCTGCCTCTAGACTTCAAACAGTTTGTTTTAACCATGTTAATTGTTCCACATTATTGGTTAATAGAGAATCAAAATTGATTTACCAACGAATCGCGAAATGCTATGGTTCTTACATATAATTTCTGAATTATACAGAAGTAATTCCTGAAGTTATCT